TTAAAACTGCCCCTCTCCAACCCATACCTGCTGATGGGAACCTTTTTGCAGATTTAATTAAATTGTGGGCCACTCCCAAAGCCCCAAAGTCTGGAAATCAGTATTATTTACAATTATGGATAAAGTAACCAGATATCCTGAAGCGATCCCAATGCGTAGTATCAATACTAAAGCTATTCTCAAAGCTTTAACAAAATTCATTTCTTGTTTTGGCATTCCTAAAACTATACAAAGTGATCAAGGTACTATTACAAATCGGGAACAAGGAGCTGCAGCCAATCGCATACTTTTCAGCTAAATTCCAGCCACATCAGAGAGCTTACTCTACCATTGAAAAAGAAGCCCTCGCGCTGGTAATGGCTTTGGAGCATTTTGATGTTTATGTGGGCCAGACATCGCAGGTGGTCACAGTCTACAGTGATCACAACCCGTTAGTCTATCTCCAAGCCATGAAGAATCACAACACAAGGCTTATGCGTTGGGCGCTCAGGCTGCAGCCCTACAATATCAGAATTCATTATAATTGCCGCAAAGAAAATGTGTTGGCAGACTCTTTGTCAAGAGTCTAGTTTTATTATTTTTTTAGGTTAGGATGTATTTGTGGTAACCCCTTTCAAGCTCTTTTTTTTTATCCCCTGATGTGGGGTTTTTTTTTTTTTAGTGAGGGGATGCGGGCTACCGTCCGCCTGTATCTTGGACCTATGCTAGCCTGTCTGACTGCTGTCTCACTCTAAGTTTAGGGTTTGGCTTTTGGTCACTAGGAAAGCTGAGCTCTATCTAAGAGTTGGATGGTGAGAGGATAGGCGGTCCATTATTTTGTGCCATGGCGGCACGGTTACCACTGGGAGGTGGCAGCCTAATCCTGAGCCTTCTCGGGGGTGGGGGTGTGGCATGCAAAGAGTACGTAACCTTTATTCGGCGCATGGACACACCCTCATTTACAGGCTATCATCCCCCAACCAGCGAACCAGGTTGCTAAGAGTTGATGATGGGGCCCCATCGTTCAACTAGTGACCAGGTTCTAGCCAATAAGAAGGTGGGATTGACAATCGCAGAGGTTATGTGGATACCGCTCTCCTGTCTGCCCTTGTCATTCCCACTCTAGAGCTGGTTGAAGCACGGTCTGCTATCTTGTGGCTTCTATTTCTGCCTTGCTTACCGTGGAGTGCACTATATTTATCACTGTACATAGTGTACATATTGCTGTTATAATTGGTGAAGGATAATATAAGTCTAAACTTTTTCTACTGTGTTTATTTGCTCCCATTACACCTGGGATAACAGGCCATTTGAAATCCTAGGTTGTAATACTGACACACTGTAAGAGTAATTGTATAAAGAGTTAGCTCACTCTCTCGCTCTCTCTCATTTTCTCTCTTTCCTGCAAATGTCACATAAACCGGTGTAGACTGATATTTAAAGAGATATTGTCTGAAAACCAGAAAACCACGTTGGGCTGGGCTAACGTGGTCGCAATAAAGGGAAAAGCACGCGGTGATCGTCCTTTCCGTTCTCGTATGAGCGGCTCTTGACCGCATACAGCGAGTCCCTGACGGAAATTGGGTTGCTGCATAGAAGCGAATTCGCAAATAGCGAGGAGGAGGGGTGAGCGAAACCCAGAAACGCAAAAAATATCAACGCGGTCACAAGCGACATCCTGGAAAAGACGTGTGGGCGAGCGTGTATGCGTGCACCACCTGTGCACCACCAACCACTTGTTGAAATGGAAAGTGGAGAGCCAGGCAGCCGAAGACAACAAAAAAATTGCCTTGAGGCATCAGTAATGTTCATATCAGTCACAATTACACGAAGTAAAGACAGTTTTATCATGTCTGAAATCATCGTGTTAATCCTTATGAAAAGTACGACCTCCGCCGCCACCCGACAAGAGTCGCTCGGAGATTAATGGAATAAGATGCCAACGCGATGGAGTACACACAAAGGCGGTATAATGCGATCCTTTATTGTCTACGTTTCGCCCACTTAATGGGTTTCATCAAATCACAAACAGATCTACTGCATTTGTGTCTGCTTTTCCATGGGGTCGCTTCCAATACTACTACCACTACTACTACTACTACTACTACCACTACTACTACTACTACTACTACTACTACTTCTAGTACTAAGATGGGTCAATAAACCGACTGTTCCTCCTACACTTCACCATACACATGAATACTACTAGATCCCGATAATTACACCAGTAGGAGAAACTACGTAGTTTATGGCAATTTACTGAAACGTTTGGCCCACCAGGGACATGAGGAGAGGATGGATAAAAGTCCCTAACCAACGAACTGTCGTCTCCAGAGAGTTCCATAACCTACACATGTCTTCTTAACTCGCATTTACAAAGCTCCCTTTAGACTACTCTCAGTGTATATCTTTATTAACTGGATCAAGATTCTGGAAAGCCAAGCATGGCTGAAGATTCTGGAAAGCCGAGCATGGCTCAAGATTCTGGAGAGCCGAGCATCGCCGTAATGCCCCAAGAGTTACTCATGTGCCTCTTCAGCTGCGATATTGTCACTTATTTCGCCAGTACATATATAAATCCTTAAGGAAGTATATTTTTGAGAGAGTTGGGTTTGTTTAACCTACTTCTTACATAAGGCGAGACGTAAATCTAGTTTCTATTGAAAGAGACAAATCTGTGGCAGCTGCCTGGAAAATGTTAAGTATTTCCTAATTCGCTTCAGCATGTCTTGGAAGAGAAAAAACGCAATGATTGAACTTTTAAAGTCGTATTTCCAGTTTTTGTTCACTGGAACACATTTCCTCTGCATGGATTTTGCCTGTACTTAGAACACATGCTTGTTCCCGTGGCCCTGACAAGCACTGGGATGGCTTGAATGACCAGCCCTGAGGCCATGACCAGGCCAGAAGAACGCTATGGATCTGATTAGCCCTGACCTGACCTAATCAGTGACCTGACCAGCCCTGATATCACCAACTTTTGCATTGTAATCACTATGTTCATTATTTGTGTTAGTAACGAAATCAATAGCCACAATAATATCAAATTTTCGTTTTTATTAATAGTATTATTGTAATTATTATCGAATATTAGATAAAACAACATCGCGATGAGAGAAGTGGGGAATGATCTCGGAGATTGATCATTTATTCGACATTGTTACTCATCAGATCAATGTGATTCATCCTATTATTATTATAATCAAGGGGGAAGCGCTAAACCCGGAGGATTATACAGCGCCTGGGGGGGGGGAATGTGGAAGGCATTCAGGCTTAATTCGGGGAACTGGAGCACAGATCCAATTCCCTAAATCAAGAGCCCCTCACCAACATCAAGGAACCTTCCTTGAGGGGATTCATCCTATTCAAGCCTCGTTATTTTGAGAACGTTTTCGTGGCTTCTGTCACATGAGTCACATTATGTCTGTCTTGAGTTACGTGTCGTTTATTACTGACTTTGTAAAGTGTCTGGATTTACTGTCTTGAGTTACGTGTCGTTTATTACTGACTTTGTAAAGTGTCTGGATTTACTGTCTTGAGTTACGTGTCGTTTATTACTGACTTTGTAAAGTGTCTGGATTTACTGTCTTGAGTTACGTGTCGTTTATTACTGACTTTGTAAAGTGTCTGGATTTACTGTCTTGAGTTACGTGTCGTTTATTACTGACTTTGTAAAGTGTCTGGATTTACTGTCTTGAGTTACGTGTCGTTTATTACTGACTTTGTAAAGTGTCTGGATTTACTGTCTTGAGTTACGTGTCGTTTATTACTGACTTTGTAAAGTGTTTGGATTTACTGTCTTGAGTTACGTGTCGTTTATTACTGACTTTGTAAAGTGTTTGGATTTACTGTCTTGAGTTACGTGTCGTTTACTACTGACTTTGTAAAGTGTCTGGATTTACTGTCTTGAGTTACGTGTCGTTTATTACTGACTTTGTAAAGTGTCTGGATTTATTGGTGTCTGGCTTGTGTAACCCGATCGTTGGTAAGACACATGTGCAACCGTTGGAATTGTTGAAACGTTTCGCCTACGTAGTAGGCTTCTTCAGTCATATGGAGGCAACAGGTGTAGTCGTGAAATGATGTAATCGGTTCATCAACCTTGGAGTGTGTTTGAGGTGATCAGTCTCTCAACCTGAGGGACTGACAACCTCAAATACTAATCGTAAGATCTGTCATTTCTGCTTCTCAATTCTAGTATTGACTTGTCTTCAAAAATATTCATTTTTGGTGCGGTTATACCCGATTTTTTTGACTTTTCAAACCTAGTTTTTCCCCCCTTAGACGATACTCGTTACCGGAGTCCTTTTCCTACTCTCCCAGATACACTACTTTTGCGGGGATTGAACTCGAGTAGCCATCTACTCCACAAATTCGGACAATTGTGGAGAGTTTCCTGCAGGTTTTTTCTTTCCCCAGGACGTACTCTCATTGTGTTGGATAGATAAGAATTAACTTAAATAATCTGGCCATTTATTTACAGGAGGAACAACATGGGTTCCAGTAATGATTCATGGAGGATTTATTTCTCAGCTTGAAGTTTTATCCCCCCATAAAAGTTTTTATAAAAGTGCCACATTAAAAAAAAACTGCCTTTTTTTGTGGAAAATAAACAGTAGCCATTATGATTTTTTTTTTTGGTGAGAGATATAGCTTCTTTGTAAAAATTATACTTGAAACCTTTCTTCAAGATTCCAGGAATATTTGAAATGATAGTGATTATTGTTTAATGTTCCAGTATTCAATTATCGGTGCTAATACTACTATTTTTTTTAACCAGGCTTGATTTATAAATTTTCATAGCGTGAGAGAGAGAGAGAGAGAGAGAGAGTGAGGACTTGTCAATTTTAAAGACATTCTTACATTGCTTTGCTCTGCCATCCTTTGACAGCTTCCAGAGGGCTGGAAGGAAGAGGCAGCTCTGCCGATGATACTGATAGGCGGAAGAGGCAGAGGTGTGAGCGGAAGAGGAGGAGGAGGAGGAGGAGGTGGTGAAGAGTACCAGTCAAGAGTGACAACAATGGTATTCTCCCGGTGTACCATGTACAAGGACCCACTGTACCACCACAAGGGTACAAAGTCCTGTGTGTACGGGTACGTCTTTACCCTCCGTGGTGCTGAGTGGAGCGTCGTTGCTGAGGTAAGGTGTCAAAAGAATACACTAAAACCTGCAGTGGGTCTAGTGGTTCATGCTAATCAGGTCCTTCAGTTACAACTCTTCTCATAAATCTCGTCTAACAGTGACTGTCAACCATTTTCCGTTCAGACTTAATTTTCCGTTCAGACTTAATTTTCCGTTCAGACTTAATTTTCCGTTCAGACTTAATTTTTCTCGATACATCATTTTTTTCATGTTAATTTCTGCTTCTTCTGTTTACCTCTCTCTCTGTTATCTTCTGTCTTTTGCCTTTCTGCAGTTTTCCTCATGCTCTTGTGTTTCTCTTTCCACGTCTTGCTTATTTTATCATTTCTCTTCTTTTTTTTTTTTTTGAGAATGAGGTTCTTTGCCTGCAGACAAAGAATTTCATTCTCAGTAACTAAAATATCTCATTCGATGACTTTCCTTTCGTTACCTTTGACCATGGCAGTGTGTGTGTGTGTGTGTGTGTGTGTGTGTGTGTGTGTGTGTGTGTGTGTGTGTGTGTGTGTGTGTGTGTGTGTGTTACAAAAAACGCGATTCTAAAAGCTTAGAGATCTCCAGTGAATACTAGAAAGGACTGCCCTTCTAGCATCCAGCCTGTTACTGGGTTTTCGTAACAAGTAGTCAGTATCCTTGTCCAATTATCCATTAAAATTCAGTATGGTTCAATAGTGCTTTAGGATTACAACTGGTAGGCTACTAACTAGAGAAATTAAAATTTAATAAATTTATTAAGTAGTAAGTCGTCTAGAGGTATATTATCAAATTAAATTAATTACAGCAATCAAAATAAAATCAATCTCTCGAGTTCAATATTATTGTGCTGAAAGCACATATCACATTTATAATTCTTAAGTACCGTCAGGTACATTAACATTTAATAAGATATTACAAATATGTACAAGTGTGTGTATGCATGTAAGTGCTCTTAAGTAGTTAGCTATGTCTCAAGACTCGAATAAGACTTAAACAAGTGACTGACAAAGTCCTCAAATAAACTAACTTCTTGACCGACTGGCAACCCGAACAGTCTGCTTGAACAACAAAGAATGCTAAGCCCAATAACAATGCAATATCAAGCGACTGCGACACAGAATCAGGAACAAGGAGATAATATAATGACACTAAGTAGGGACCATCTGCAGATCCTCCACAAAAGTTACAAAACTCCCATAATACTGAATCTTTGTTCAGCATAGGTAAAACTGTGACTGTGACAATACACAGGAACCAGTACAAAATTAGGTCAGAAGCTATAGCTAAGGACCTGAGATGTTCAGAGTGTCTATGTGACACACAACCTCAGTACAACGTCGAAAATCACAAAGTCTATACAATGTTCTGTGAACAAAGTTCTACAGAACTAACAAGAATAATGAGACAGACAATCTGTCCAACCAGCAAGCGAGTCTCCAGCAGACTGTCAGACAGACAAGCTGTCCAACCAGCAAGCGAGTCTCCAGCAGACTGTCAGACAGACAAGCTGTCCAACCAGCAAGCGAGTCTCCAGCAGACTGTCAGACAGACAAGCTGTCCAACCAGCAAGCGAGTCTCCAGCAGACTGACAATTTCACGAGAGGTGAGGACACCCCCCCTCGATCACGTGATAGCTACGTGGACAACTGCAGCTCAGAAGCCGGCAGTACAACGAGCGACAAGCGATAATTACAGTTGTTTGACAATCAAGCCTAACTGAGCACATTTTATATACATCCTAACAACATAAGCTAAATAACAATATAACAGTCAAATAATAATATAAAGTCATACATTTACGATTTAGCTATTATCGCAAATATAAGCAATATAAAATTAAATGAAAAGGTAATATACATTATATATACATAATCATCATTGTAACCCATTCAAGGGTTGCAACAGTGTGTGTGTGTGTGTGTGTGTGTGTGTATGTGTGTGTGTGTGTGTGTGTGTGTGAGGGGGGGGGGTTGTGCCTGGTCTCAAGCTGAACGTTTTGCATCGCTATGAAAAATGTTTATTATAATTTGAAGACATCAGAGTTAGTGTTATAATTCCTCTCTGCAGCCATCAACCTGATCACATGTACATCAACGCTCAACAGTCATCAAAAATAAGAGAGACAGGTTGCAGAACGAGCTTTTACCGTGGCAGCGTTTCGCTCTCTGTAGACCTTTATCCAGTCACTCTTATGACGGAAACAGGTCAGCACAGATCGAAACGTTCTGAAACGTGATTCTTTTCTTCGCTATTTTAAGCAATACACCGTTTATAATAATAATAATAATAATAATAATAATGTTTATTTCTGCAAATACATGATACAACTTATACAGACCATAGCTAACATCAGTGACATACTATGTTTAAAGCTTTTTATTTTGCAGACTGTTTTGAATCCACTTCTATCTACTGGAAACGACTGCTAACATGAATTAACTCGTTTCAGTCGTGCATGCAAGGTGCATCATGCTGCTTAAGTCTTCCCTGTGCAATAGGCAAGTTGATTCCATAGTCTGTAGGGTCAACTATGTCTCAAAAATTATAGAAATATCCTCGGCCGTGTGTGAGAATTAATTAGCAGCTCGCCATGGTCCAGTGTATCTGCCCCTCATTCCCCTCCCATAATTGGTGTAATGACCCCTCATTTCCAGGAGACAATCATGCCTTTGGATAGGGAAAACAACTGGTGTACACCACTGCCAAGGGGGACCCAGGAAAATGGGAATTTTTCATGCATTCACTCTTGTTCATGAAAAAAAAGAGCCCAGCTCAATTCTCTCTAAGTCATGACGGTGCGCAAATCACGTCCCTTCACTAGCTCTTACAGGTCGCTCTCAAGGTTAAGTCGTACTGCAAATTCTTGTTTCACTTTGCTCTCCTTCAAGGTCTTGTACAGTGGTTTTACACACCTTGAAACATTTTGACACAACCTTGCTGTGGCTATTGACTTCCTCCCATACATGATATACGCAAAGATTTCAACGTTACTCGTGTTCACCAAAACCCGCTACGTGTAGTCACTGACTCTCACGTGATGAAACACGTTTTTTTTTAGTTTTTATCTAAATTGCTTTAATTTTCATCTGATACTGGCTTCAGAATGCAGTGGACAACTTAAGGTTCCTGAGGAATTTACAGGAGGTAAACAAAGGTAAACAAAGCTACGTGGGAGCACGTATTACTACTTGATGTTACTCAGAAGCATTTGGTACTACAAGAAAATACTCTGATACGTATCTACGTAGACACATCGTAAACTGACTTCAGTTCAAGACCGCGGTGGACAAGCAGCACTCTAAAAGCCTGAGCTCTCTATCCTCCTCTTCCATCTATCTTGTTAAGGAGCTCACGAGATCTGATCTCACGTTGGTGAAGACACAGTCGATACCTTACCAGCTGTGTCACGACGTGTCCAGACACGTCCACACGTGGAAATAACTGCTACGCAGAAATTATCGATAGTGCAAACTGTCGGTAAGAGTTTTATACACAGCGCAAAAATACGGAATTCACCAGGCAAATCAAGATCACATTAATCCCCCCTCATTACCGTCGTGTCAAGGAAGGTTTGAAAGTCTTTAACCAGTCGAGGAGGAGTCAGTAAGGCGGCCAGTTCGAATTCACGGACTTGAGGTTCATCCCATATGTTCTTCATCGAACGTTGTTCGGGAGCTCGGACGCGGTACATGAAAACCAGTTAGCAGCTGTGTCAGTGCTCCACGAAGATCCTTAATGAGGTAGAGTCGTAGCTGGTGGCTATCCTGACATTTCAAAGGCACGTTGAAGAACTCATTACGGAGCCTCGTGGTAGGGAAGATAAAAATAAGCATCTCTGGGGAGAAATCTCTATTTTTCTCTTCAATGAAGATTATTCTCTTCTCCGAGAACGAGGGATTCCAATTAGCAGAGATGGTCCTTTATATATATATATATATATATATATATATATATATATATATATATATATATATATATATATATATATATATATATATATATATATTCAACAAGTCGGCCGTCTCCCACCGAGGCAGGGTGACACAAAAAGAAAGAAAATCCCCCCAAAAAATCCCCAAAAAGAAAAAACTTTCATCATTCAACACTTTCACCTCACTCACACATAATCACTGCTTTTGCAGAGGTGCCCAGAATACAACAGTTTGGAAGTATATACGTATAAAAATACACAATATATCCCTCCAAACTGCCAATATCTCAAACCCCCTTCTTTAGAGTACAGGCATTGTACTTCCCACTTAAAGGACTCAAATATTACCCTGCTCACACTACAGGACTCAAATATTACCCTGCTCACACTCCAGGACTCAAATATTACCCTGCTCACACTCCAGGACTCAAATATTACCCTGCTCACACTCCAACAGCTCGTCAGGTCCCAAATACCATTTGTCTCCATTCACTCCTATCTAACACGCTCACGTACGCTTGCTGGAAGTCCAAACCACTCGCCCACAACACCACCTTTACCCCCTCCCTCCAACCTTGTCAAGGACGACCCCTACCCCGCCTTCCTTCCCCTACAGATTTATACGCTCTCCATGTCATTCTACTTTGATTCATTCTCTCTAAATGACCAAACCACCTCAACAACCCCTCTTCAGCCCTCTGACTAATACTTTTATTAACTCCACACCTTCTAATTTCCACACTCCGAATTTTCCGCATAATATTTACACCACACATTGCCCTTAGACAAGACATCTCCACTGCCTCCAACCACCTCCTCGCTGCAACATTTACAACCCAAGCTTCACACCCATGTAAGAGTGTTGATTCTACTATACTTTCATACATTCCCTTCTTTGCCTCCATAGATAACATTTTTTGCCTCCACAGATACCTCAATGCAACCACTCACCTTTTTTTTCTCATCAATATATAATAATATATATATTTATAATATATATATATATATATATATATATATATATATATATATATATATATATATATTTCTTAAATTTCTCTATAACCTATAATCATTACTTACAATTATCTAA